TCTGGCTGAGATGAAACCTACATGGACGACACAGATCGTGGATGGAAGAAGATTGGAGGTATTTGGGCCACAAAGAGTATTTGTAAGGTGTGGGACAAATGGAAAGATACTGGAGCTTTATGACACCTTGTGGTGGTGGTAATCTTGGAGGTCTGGGTAAAAGGACCCTGGAATAAGAAAGGTCAGTGCTGTGGCCTGTGGATATTGTTCAATTGGAGCCAATTTCTTTTTACATCAGGAGACCTAAACCACAAATTCAAACTGTGCAAGAACTATTTAGAGAGAGCACTCAGACAGCTACGTTCTGACTATAATGGAGTGGCCAGCACTCCCCAGTCTCAATACTAGACTCATTGTGGTTACAGTGCGACTGTATTGTATGCAAATGCCCATCAAATCAAAATTTCTGGTACTCTTTACTTTTTTCACAAAAAAAGTAAAGAGAAATTAGAAGCAGTTTTTTGTTGTTGTTGTTGTTGTTGTTGTTGTTTTTTGTATTTTAAGTCTTTACTGTGGAACTGGATTGTGATCCCATTTGCTTTCATGATATTTGAGATGTTTAGATCTTGATTGGGGTTGAAAGGAGCAGACAGATTAAAAAGACAAAAACATCTTTGAGATGTGGAGAAAATGAGCTGGCGGAGTGCTTGATGCCAAGCATGGTGGAAAACTCTTATGGAGACACTTCGTGGTGGGAAACTCTGAGAGTTCTACAAAATAAAAAGAACCTTGAACAAAAAAGACTACCTTATTTTGCAGCACCATTTCCCCCAGTTTCTTCCAACAACAGGCCAATAATCGTGACTCCATACCAAGCAAAACTGGAGAAGAAGCAGTCGGCTAGTAACCTGTCAATATTCAAGTGGCCAAGCATTGATGGCCATTGTACCATCAAACCAAACTAGTTGGAGGAAGCATAGAGTGAAATTTCTTAAAATTACCTCAACAACCAGCCAAATGTGAAAGGCTGTAAATGGGTGAGTTTTTGCTGAAAACAGAATTTAAAAGACAAAATTGTTTTTTCAGATTAGAAATCTTATTTCAAACCCTTACTGCCCTAAATATTCATTTTTTTTCCAATTCATGAGTTTGATAGGTTTGCATTTAAAAAAACAAAATAAAAAAAAAAACAAAACAAATTCTGACCTCCAGCCTTTCAGCAGTGGTGTAAATAAACTATTCAAAAACTGAAGCTCAAATTTGTTATGGACATTCTGCACCTCACAACCCGGCACATTATTTCTTACATATTTGTAATAAAAATAATTCAAAAGACAAAAAAAGGGGTTCAGTGAGTTGAATTAGTGGAGGTCTAGCAGACAGCTGTTGGCTACAGCTGCCTGTGTCCGTACATCTGTCAGTCCTCCTAACTTTAACTGTTACTGGTATCCAAATTAATATATATAAAAATAAATTTACCCAAAGAACAGCTGATGTTTAGTTGGGCATGGTAATATAAAATAGAAACATAAACTAATCTAACTAAAGGATTAAATATGTGTTTTTTGAGGGTCATTAGTCTGTTTGCACCCACAGGAGTCACCAAATATGCAAGTTTAATGCGCTTCTCCACTGACTTCACTTTATAGACCTGGAAGCTCCGCCCATCTTTTATATACAGTCTAAAATTGAGATGTTTATCAGGGGCATGGCCTAGATTAATGCTGGATGTTTATCAAGTATTGATTTCATGAATTAAGTT